TATGTGAATTTTATGGAGGAGTGCATAGAAAATTGAAAAAATTAGCTATAAAGGTTCCATTGCGCAAGAAATAAAGTATTAAATACATTTTCACGCCTAAGTAATACCTACTAAATGTAGAAAAAAATAAGGTTTTTTTGCTTAGAAAGTCCAAGATGTTGTCTGATATCACAAAATGGTTTTTTCTTGCGATGTTCAAGATACAACATAAAGACTGACAAAACTGACATAGTGACATACACTTCGCAGAATTTCTGTAATATATTTTGGTTCCACAGGTATTTTGGATATTGAATTTCTGAAACTTTTGTTGAATGCGATGAATTGATAACGTCATTTTATTGTTTTCATTCCATTTATCGAAAAATAGTTCATCTTTCCTTAATTTTACTGCTGCGCCATGGGAAAAACTATTTTAAATGTGAATTTTTTCTCATTGTTAATTACCGTTTTAATTTGGTCTACCCCAATATAGCTAAAAATTTGAAAAATGTTGAGCTGGAATGACGAAATGGATAATATGCTTGCTGCCATTGACCGCCAAGTAAAGTATTCGTTGAAAAACATTAAAATGGCGTTCAAATGTAGTGGCTTATCGTTTGATGCCGAATTCAAGCATTATTTGGTACGGGCTCTGAATAATCGGTAAGTTGTTGGTAAATATTCGATTTGGCATTTTATAAAATTGACTTTATTGATGATATTTGTAGCATCAAGGAAAGTTGTGATCAATTTGAAATTATTTCAATGTTGGAAGACAAAGTCAGCCCTTATGCAGAAGTGAACACGTCAGCAACCGATGAATACCAAATGTTTAGCCATGGTAGAAACTGTAGTCAGCACGAAATCAATGGCCCCGTCGAAATAATCGACTCAAGCGATAAAGAGGACCAAGCAGGCAATTGGGTTGAAATGCAATTCTTGGAAACGCCTTCCACCATTCACTACGATGATCACGACATGCCACCTGAATTCAACGATGGCGATCAACTTAACGAGGATGGAAGCTATGATGAAAAGCCAAACATGAATTCAAACAACGTTGATTGCCGCAAAGGCATTCCGAAGAACGCAATTAATTTTTTCAAGAAAAGCCTTGGTAAAGCAATGACACCGGTAGATGGGGAAGTGAACAATGGCATTCCGTTGATGACTGGTGATGTACCGTTATATCCTGGGTTGGACGCACCAAAAAAACGTACCGTTACACTAAATCATGAATCAAAGATCTTGCGTTGTGCCAAAAGTAATAAGGAAATATTACCAAACGGAAAGGTTACCGGAAGATCAACCAGATATCCAGGAAAGGAGACTGAAAACTATTTGAAAACAGCAATTGTACCAAACCAGTTGAAGATGAAGAAATGTTTCAAATGCATACACTGTGAATATTCTTGCAAAAGCAACTCGGACATCAAGAAACACATGCGCACTCACACCGGTGAGAAACCATATCGATGTGATATTTGCCACAAAGGATTCACAATCATGCGCAACATGAAAAGGCACCAAGTGACACACACCAACGAAACTCCGTTTCATTGCCGTGGCTGCTTCACTGGATTTTATCAAGAGGTCGACCAAGAAGATCACGAAAAAGTTTGCAAACATCGTCGATATGAATGCCATATTTGCAAGAAGTTTGTCACTTCCGACAAACATCATTTCCAAAGGCATATGCGAACACACAACGGTGAAAAACCGTTTCGATGCGAGATTTGTACGAAGTGTTTTACACGAAACGATAGTCTGAAGACACATTTGGACACCATCCACACCAATTTTTAAAAGGTCTCGTCTACCTTCAAAATATTCGCATTCATTGTGAACATTGAAATCATGACTTTTATTGACATCTATTTATCTCTTCTACTATTTCAAACATATTTCAAGCTGAACTAATAATTATCGAAAATAACATTCATTTTGCTTAATTGATTAATTGTATTCAGACACATTATGGTGTCCTAAAGTAAATGAAATGGATCATTAGAATTTTCACACCTTTAATGTTCGTTTAAAAAAATTAATAAATCGAGTAAATTCATACATTTACAATGATTAAAAATAAATTAAATTTGTATAGCTTCCTGTTATGTATTTTTTTCTGGTCTTTTGCTGCAACTGATTTCGCTGAGTTTAGAACATCAATACAGCGAATTCATTTTGACAGTTTTTTAGCAATAAATTTTTGGTTTGAATTCAATGGCGTCATTCTATCTATACGACTTGTTGCATAACAACGTACTGAACACGTTTCAATCTGGAAACTAAAGAAATAAACTCATATTTTCGTCGAATTAATACTTTATTGGATTGAATTCATTTCAAATATTCTTCTATTCGCCCAAGAGCATTTCATTTTGTTGGAAGTTATTTATCAAAAGGTGAGAATAATCAATTTAATTTCGATTCAATCAATTCTTAGTAAGAAATTTTGTGTCCGAATACCGGAATCGTGTTCCAAGTTGAATATTGTTATTTTTTCGACATAAAAATTGGACAAGAACTTAAACAACAACGAATCAATTGGCGCGTTTAGTCAAAGTACTATCTCTCTCTCTCTCTCCATTATTATCAATTTGATTTTTTTTCGGTATATTCCAGGTAAAAATCCGAAAATGTTGAACTGGAATAACGAGATGAGCCAAATGCTTCTTGCGTTCGAACTACAAGCCAAATATTCTCTGAGCAACATTAAAATGGCACTAAAACACGATGGTTTGTCGTTTAATGCTGAGTTCAGGCAGTATTTTTTGCGAGCTACGACCCATCGGTTAGTATATCATCTCAGGATTCCATTTGTTTATCTTTTTGATTAAATTTTTTAAAATTCTTTGTAGAATCGAGGAAACCTATGACAACTTCGAAATTAATTCAATTTTTGAGGACCAAGTGAACGGTGATGCTTATGGAAGCACGTCAGCAATTGATAGACTTCCGATGCTGAGCTCAATGTATACCAAAAATCATGACTTTCACGGTATTGGGGAAGAAATAACGGATACAGTTGAAGTCAT